AAAACCATCTAATGACCTTCAGTGTACTGACAAATTCATTGATTGTATCAAACATTATTGGAGGTGGGGCCCATCAGGAAGGGCATAGTTATTTTACCAAGTATTTGTTATCAAGTCAGGTTTTGACTTATTTCTGGAAATCATAACTTGGCTATAATGTAACAGCACAGATCTGCTAATGAGTTAGACAAAAGCAATTCCTGCAAGACTAAGTTTAGGGCTTCCTCTAAGCCTGGCAACCACACACAGGTTCTTCAAGACTGAAGCTCCTCTTTCTAGTGACCATCTTCCTACAATAAGCCCATGTTATTTCCAAGGGGACTGACCCTACGGAGGGATGGGTTCTTCATACATAAGTTGTAACAGTTGAGTAACTACTGTACCCCAGATTTTTGTGGGCGTGATTGACTCCAGGAGTAGCTGGATCACATTTGTTTTCTCATTGATTTGAAAAAGGCGTTTCATCTCTTCTAAGGCTCCAGCTATTGCAATCCACATATGAAACTAACATAAGAGCAAGAGCTACATATTGACTAGAAATTGAGTGGGTCTCTTTTTCCTACTAGCATAATTTGTAATTTTACCGTAGAATGCAGTAAGAGAAAGTACTCCTAGGAAAAGTATCATTAAGGACAATAAATATTTCTCCCTCAGTTCACTGATATTCTTAAACATCTGACGGTTCAAATTGTGATGTGATTTCTTAGAATTAAAAAAATTTTTCAATACCAAGCCACCCAATCCATAGATTAGCTTTTGTTATATTACCCAGATGGCTACATAAAATAATCTCTCTCCATTCTTATATTCTTTAAAAAAACAATCCATTATTTGTATGGTACTTCATAATTTACAAGTCTTCACATACATAGTATCTCACATAACCTTCACAGAAGGCAAAAATTTCCATCACTTAACAGATGACAATACTGATCCTTTACCCAGGTGATATTACTGGTAATGGGAAGCATCAAAAATAGAACTTGGGACTTTGAGACCAGTATTCTTTTTTTCCTTATACCAAGCCACCGTTAAGTATAAAAGATTCTGTTCCAAAGCATTTCTATTTGTTCATAAAAAGTTTTTTTAAAAATCTAGTACCAAAATTCACAAAGATAAAATGGCTCGCCAGCAAAGCCTTGCTGGTGGTACACTGATTTCCAGAGTCACACAGTCATGTCTCAGCATGTTCAGCACCACGTAGGTGTGTTCTTCACCCTACACAATCACTGCCCCACAGCTCTCTGATCAAATCAAGTACACTACAAGACAGGCGGGATAATACATTACCACGGACCTGAATAAATGACCTCACAAAGTGAAACAGACCTTTCTGAAAGCTTACCTGAGTGCAAGCTGTTCCATCCTCTGACTGGGAACTGGTAATGGAATATTAAGAAGCTGAAACTGAGATTCCTGCTATGAAACTAACAACACAAAATACTGTAATTTTAGAAAAGTTTGTAAAAGATTGCTGATTGGCTATGTTCAAACTATCAGTGGCCGGAAGCTACATTTTGAAAACTTAAATACCAGAAATGCATTTTAACTTTTAAGAAGTTTGGGGATTGTGAACATGGCAGGCAGAAAGAGAATCTGTACATCTGAATTTCAACAAAAGGTCTGAGAGCACTGGCCTATTGAAAAAAGGATTACAATATGATGACTATTCAAAGCCTTCCAGTTGGCATTCTGGCTAGGATATAGGATCTTTTCCTAAAATGTTTCTTTTATGTGAAAAGGATTTAAAAATTATAATACCATATATTAAATGCAAGCAAATTATTACCTTCTTAGAGCATTAAAATTGATTAGTTAAAAGAATGTTAATTGTAATCCTCTTCTTCAAAAGAAATCATAAACATGCTGCTCCCTTCTTGCCTTTGGGGCAAATTTCCTCTTCTTGGGTAGCACTAGAGACCCCCAGTCTATAAACCAGATCTCTAAGTAAATAATTTCCTGCTGCTCCTAAGTTACTTCAGTCATGTCTGAACTCTTTGCAACCCCATGTACTGTAGCCCGCCAGGCTCCTCTGTCCATGGGATTCTCCAGGCAAGAATACCAGAGTGGATTGTCATGCCCTCCTCCAGAGGATCTTTCTGACTCAGGGATCGACCCTGCATCTCTCACATCTGCATTTTGTAGGCAGGTTCTTTACCACTGGTGCCAGCTGGGAAGCACTAAATAATTTCTTCAGCACGTTTTTTAAATGAATAAAAAATAAGATTCCCAGGTATTTTCCCCAAACCTGTAAGGTCCCTAGTTGCCTAGCAATCAGCAAGATAATAGCAGGAAAGCAAGAACTCCTTTCTTGCCTCTAGCTTGGCAGAGGGGCTGGACCTCAATGGGAATCCCATAACTAAATCATCAAACAGGGCAAAGCTATAGCTTTTTAGCTGTAAGCCCAAGATTCAGGCATGATACTACCACACTGGGTACGGTGTTACGTTTGAAGTAACTTGGTTCTCACAGCCACCGAGCAGCTAGCTGGAGTTGTACCTGAAGCTCTGTTCTCTACAGTGTACTTAACTGTACAGTTTTTTCTAATTGTAACATGTCACAATGCCAATGCTGAAATACCGGGGCTGTGGGAAAGATGTTTAAAAAGCATGGCCTGAGGACTTGCCTGGTGGGTCTGTGGTTAAGAATCTGCCTGCCAACGCAGGGGACACAGGTTTGATCCCTGCTCCGGGAAGACCCCACATGCTGTGGGGCAGCTAGGCCTGTGCACCACAGCTACTAATCCCACGCTGGGCAACAAGACCACTGCAGTGCGAAGCCCACACACTGCAACTGGAGCGGCCCCTGCTTACCGTACTAGAGAACGCGCGTGATGAAGACCGAGAGCAGCCAAAAGTACTTATAAAACTATAAAAAATAAAAATGAAAGCAAATGCCCGACAGAATGGAAAGATGAAAAATTATATTCTTCACACCAGATTTTTATTCACTCATTCAAACACCTTCTTTTCAATGTAGTTCAAGCGGTAGAGGTTACAATCTATTACTACTAGTACAGAACAGAATGAATCAACATTCTTACAATATTGAAAGACTAGGATCATTCCTAACACTACTTTGCTTTATTTCTGACTACTAAATTTTAAGTCATCCATTCCTTCAATATGCAATATCTCAGCATTATTGAAACAATGTTTTATATCTAGAGATTTTCTAAACTTTCTAGGGAACTAGATCTATAAACTGGAAGATTTTTTTTTGGTTATTATTTAAAAAAAACGATTATCTCTGAGCTTTAAAAGCTGATTATTGTCTGCAAAACGGAGTATTCTTCCTCTATACAAAGGTAACCAACTTAACTTCTCATTAGAAAAGAAAATAACCAAACAACAAATACAAGATAAGAAATTAGCCAGAAAGCTATGGCTTGTTTCCCACGCAGGAAAAAAGTATAACTGGTAACAAACACAATTTCCGTAAGTGGATACTTTTTTAAACTTGTAAGGTTTCCATTTCTAAAACAGAAGAGTTGAGACACTTTTCTAAGCAGCTTAATCTGTCAGAAGATTTCATATCAATATTTACACCTCAGTACTTTCTATTTTGCTTTTACACAGTTAACTTTAAAAGGTAATTCCTCCCATTAAATTTGTGTGTTATTAAAAGCGTAGGCAAAAGTTAAATGGGCAAAGATAAAGGCCTACATTTGTATTTTGGGGTAGGGGAAAGAAAGTTGTTTCCAAAAAGCAAGAACACTTTGGTGAGAAGTATTTTTTACTAACACTTACCAATTTTATTCTTCCACAATTGGATGCATCAACTTGAGTCCAATGAGCATCTGGATTTGCCACATCTTGTGATTTCCAACCTTAATCATAACTGTGTCTTCTCTTTTTGTACTCATTTATACAAATGGAGGGCAAGAATACAAAAAATATTTTAGTGATTATATGAGTTCTATACTAACACAGTGTGACCCTGCTAAGATAGAATTTTTGGCTCACAGACATTACTACCATGAGCTAACTTATTTGCTGCTGATATAAAAAATACTCTGGTATATAATAGGCAATTATGGGGTGTAAACTTATGAAAACTGAATATATAAAAATAGAGAATTGCCTGAAGTAATTACAATCAATAATTTTAGAGCTGGAAGGAAATTTAGAAATCATCTAATCTCAATTCCTAGATAGAAAGTCAGATATAAAGACTTGGTTGGCAAAACCACACTTCTCATGAGTGCCAGAGCTAGTTAATATTCCAGGTCAATTATTCCTCACAGTATACAATACTCATAGTTAAGAATAAATTACTTGAAAATTTATTTCCCAACAGATCTTTGTTAGATTAAGAAAATCAATCCAAACAAAAATGTTCAAAATCTGCTATCTATTCTTCCTTCTTAGTTCATGTTGTAGTTAAACTTTAGAAGGACAAAAGGTCAAGGAACTAGATCAAGGAACTACACAACTTAAAGTGAATAAATTCAACATCTGAGCATAATCCTTTTCTCTAGTCCTGAAACAGGTTGATTTCAACACAAATTCTTAGATATTTGCCACTTAACTTCCAGGCTTATAGACAAAGTTGTAACAGATCTCAGGATGTGGAGTTGATTCAGTGACAAAAACTTAATTTGAGCACTTTCCTTCATGGCTATTACAACCACAAAATCAATTTCTCTCAAAGGAGGTTTCAGCCTCAGAGGGCTCACATATAATCTCAATTAGCGAAAACAATAGGCAGCTTTCTGTTTATTCTTTACACTATGTATATCTTAAATGGGAAGAAAAAGGGAGTAAAACAAAAATTAACCCAGAAGAAATTTTTTCACTTAGATTACCTAGACATCAGCTCATAATGAACTGGGAGATCTACAGTATACTGTATGGTCATTTAAGGCACAAAGCTTTACAGGACTTGAGGTAGCTGCTTACAACAGGAGCTTAAAGCAAGATGAAGACAAGATACCTTATAAAAGAGAGAGACTTTAATAAAATTTTAATTGCAAGGAGTAAATCAAAATGAAAATTTGAAAAGTTAAAGCATATTTGTTTTTATTTATAGACAGTTATCACAAGAATTGTAAAGAAAAAGAGAATATCAGAATGGAACTGGATATATGTTTTCATGCTATAGCTAAGAATAAACAATGTTCCTACATATTATGGTTAGTGAGCACATTATCAGTGTAACAGTGAACTGTGGTTATTTAAAAATATGTAGACCATAATCTGTGCTTTAGAAACAATTGTATATAGTGTTATAAGCTGAAAAGACTTCAAAAGAATACCAAATATACACCTGTGTATAAGAATTCAGAAAAGGCTGCATTCTGTAAAGTCAATCAGCTGTATTAAAAATGACAAATTCAAAACAAGATGCATGTTATATAAAAAAAGACTTTGTAAGACTTGCTTGCTACATTAAATCCATAGTTTAATCCACAAAATTTCCTTTTAATTATCATTCAGACAGAAGCATGCAAATAGTTCTAGGATCTACTTCGAGTCTTCCCCAAATCCACTAAGGCTACATATTCTCTCTTCAGGAGCTAAGCAGGTATTCGGGTAGCTGCTTCCTCCTCTGCATCCGCTCGGTTTGCGTTAATTTCTGCAAGTGTTCGGCCAAACCGTGCCCATTCATCATTTCGGGGGACAGCAATCTGCTGTTAAAAGAAATACAATGCTTTATTACGGTGAAATAAAAGATCATCTTACCCACTTTTCAGTGTTTTCAAATAATTTTTCCATTAAAAAGTAATAATTGACTTGAATGTCCCTTCCATAATTATAGCTACTATACCAATAATTTATAACATTTCAAAACAAAAGATAGTGTTTGATAAGTGTGTTGTGACAGCCTCAGAAATGATTTTGCTATTATCGGCATCTGTGCAAGAGAGAATGACAATGATGCTCTGTAAATATAACTCCTATGCACTATCTCATGGATTTTCCGGTGAGCAGGAATTCTTGGAAGAATTTTTACTTCTTGCACATTAGTATGAAGTAATTTTTGAAACATGGTTCATAAGAGGCTGGTTTCTTGTTTAAATATTTTTGCTTGGAGTATAAGATAACCTTTCTTGATGTATCTTAAACCTTTCGTCAAAAGGTATGCTGCTACTTACCAATTCAGTGACACATCAATACTAAAAGAGGAAAGGACACTTGTGATATATTTCCCTCACTGAAGTAGTTCAATAACCAAAAATTTTTGACAGCTGTCATTATAATATTGGAGGAATCTAGTATGCCATATGAGGGCACAGAGCATTCAGTGTGGCAAATGGATGTGCCAGCTTTTAAATCTACTGTATGACTCTAGACTCGAACAGTATACCCAGTATTGTAGCTCCCAGACAAATGTGACTATTTACATTTAAATTACTTAAAATGAAATAAAATTGAAAATTCAGTTATTCAATTGTTCAAGCCACATTTTAAGTGTTCAGTAGCCAAATCTGGGTGATAGCTACCATGTTGGATGGTGCAGCTACAGAGTAATTCCATCTATGCAGACAATTCAACTGGCTGCTCTAAATGATCCAATTTACCTCTCTCCAGATGCAGTTGCTAGAGGCTGTGGGATTTCCAGAGAGGATGGAGAATCATAAGGCACAGCAAAAGAAAAGAGTGACTAAGGTGCTGCTGCTGCTAAGTCGCTTCAGTTGTCTCCGACTGTGCGACCCCATAGACGGCAGCCCACCAGGCTCCCCCGTCCCTGGGATTCTCCAGGCAAGAACACTAGAGTGGGTTGCCAATTCCTTCTCCAATGCATGAAGGTGAAAAGTGAAAGTGAAGTCACTCAGTCGTGTCCGACTCTTAGTGACCCCATGGACTGCAACCTACAAGGCTCCTCCATCCATGAGATTTGCCAGGCAAGGGTACTGGAGTGGGTTGCTATTGCCTTCTCCAGACTAAGGCATTGCTACTGCTGCTGCTAAGTTGCTTCAGTCGTGTTTGACTCTGTGCGATCCCACAGATGGCAGCCCACCAGACTCCGCTGTCCCTGGGATTCTCAGGCAAGAACACTGGAGTGGGTTGCCATTTCCTTCTCCAATGCATTAAAGTGAAAAGTGAAAGTGAAGTCACTCAGTTGTGTCCGACTCTTCGCAACCCCATGGACTGCAGCTACCAGGCTCCTCTGTCCATGGGATTTGCCAGGCAAGAATACTGGAGTGGGTTGCTATTGCCTTCTCTGGACTAAGGCACTAGCCAGTGCTAAAACATGAGGAGACCACTCCTGAGCACTGTGCACAGTCAACCCAAACAGTAAAGATGAGAGGGCTGCAACTCATCCTGTTGGGTTCATTCATAATGGCTTTGCAACAAGGCTCAAGGGGTCAAGAATGACATTTCACACAGTCATTAGATAGCTCTTAAAAGATACTACTTTTTATTTGAGCTACCTGATCCAAACAAATCTATGAATACAGAAAATAAAATCTTATCTCAATGTCAATTCTGTAAAACCTCCAAGTCCAACTATAACTAAATTTCTTCTGCTTGAAGAATTTCTAATTTCCAGCAATGCATGCTGGAAAGTACTTTCGACATATACTACCCTCAAAATTTGTTGCATAGGGACACAGGACATTCAATTTACAAAGGAAACTAATCTCAAGAGTTGCTTCTGTAATGAAAAGTAAATTTTATCTTTACAAACACATGTGTTATTCAATTCATGAACCTCAAAGACTAGACTTAACCACAAAGATACCATCACTATAGTTCCATGAAAGCTAAATAGATGTGTCAAAATTACAGGCAGCGAGCCCCATACCTCTCCCACATCATATATAACAATCTGTCCTTCAGAATCACCCACGGCAATCTCTCTTCCAGAATGGGTCCATCTTACACGATTAAGAGCAGGATTACCTTCCACAGAAATGCTTGCAGTTGGCACCTAAAGTCATTTAAAATATAGTTCAGTGTTAAAAAGTTTCATCAGGATTTCTATAAACATGTAAAATAGTAATTCCTTTTTCTTCCAATCTGGCTAGGTTTTTGAAAACAAAGATGAAAATAGATAAAGAATTTTCCCAACTTTATTCCTGTTCAGTGATACATTCTGAATGACATTACAGTCAATCCCTGAAAATGGTTTGGGAAAATAACTTAAGTCCTTTCATAAGAAATCTTCACATGACTGGACATATCATTTTGAGAAATCTTCTCTTTAATAAAGGATTCTTTGTTGTTTTGACTTTTTTAAGAAGTCAAGCCATTTGAAAACAGATGGCCAAAACCTCATTTAAAGAAACATCTCAAAAGCCCGCATAAACAGATTATGGTTCCATTTTAGAGGACAGGAGTTACTTTTGTAACTTGTGTCTCTGTTAGCTAAAACCTGTGATTTGATCCACAGATTCTACACAGTTCATACTAAAGATGCAGTATGGGTCATTCCAAAGCCCTTGTTCCCATGAACTATCTGGAGGCAAGGCAAGATGATGCCACCAACACAATGGCACCATCCCTTGGATTATGACTGTATCCTCTGCTATGCTGAGGAAAAAGAAATTATTTGCCACTCACAGAGCAAACTTTCAATGTTTGACTCAGAACAGAATCACAATATTTTTAAATTTTTGAAACTGGATTAAAAATAATCCTTCTATTTGACACAAGTCATCCCCAAATGATTAATTTAACCTTCTAGAATGCCAAAATAGTTTTAAGAGAAAAATTATACCTTAGCTTTATTGTGAGTTAAATTATAGAACAGATCCAAATTTAATTGTAACCACAAATGCCTAACATGAAAATCCAAATTAAGAAAACTGGTACCACTCTAGGTAACTAGAAATGTATAATTAAGTCCAGTCATGTACCCAGGACTCAATATCTTTCCCTAGCAGTATCTGAATGTTGCTCTTCAAACTACTAGAGCAGAAGTTAGCATGATGTTAAAATACTTGTATTTCCAATACATAAATTCCTTGTCCTGTATAATCAACTAATTTACTTCAAGGATCATGATAACATACATTTAGCCACTAGAAATATGAAAAGACGTGAGAAACAGTGGCTGTGGGGGAAGGCACCAAGATACTTTCTCCTCAACAACTTTTATTGACAGAACTGCTAATGTTACTTCCTAACCACCACACTGCAATACAGGACTCTAACAACACTCTAAGCCTCTGCCTACATTGGTAAAAACAAACATGGTTAAAAATAAATAATAACTGCAGTTACATTTCATTCCAAATAAGTCATTTTAGTATAATAATTAGGAAATTTGATTATTTCTATATTAATTTTATAGTAACAGTAACACTGTTTTTAATCTTTCACAGAGCAAGTCATGAAAATACATTTTGTGTCACTCAAGTCAGCCTAAGACTAGTATTTATGGATAATATACAATTCTACCAAGGCTAAGAGATAATTCAGAAATTCAGAATTAAGGTTAACGTATGTCAACAGCCTGAAGCTATCTGCTTTCTAGCCTATGAATGAAAATATCCCAGCTGCCTTATGAATGAGACTTTGCCTGGACATGAAGAGAGGTGACAATGCTTTTCAGAGGTAAAAGGAACGCCCCAGTGCTCCTGGCAACAATGTTTCTCCCTTCAGTTCTGCACAGCAGGCTGTTTATTATTTAGGGCACAAAGCTTATTTGCTTTCTTTGTGATGAAGCTACAATCACAGAGTCCTTTCACATTCCTTGGGATAAAAGAATTTCACAAATTATTCAATAAATCTCCAATTTTCTATTTTTCAGTGCAATTTTTGTTATTTTCCTGCTCACCTCTGTGTCATTATTGAGATTCCACAAATCCAGCCTACCCATGCCATCCACACAGGCAAACAGGGCTGGGTGAGTGGGTGACCACATAACATCATAAACATAGTCTGAATTATCTTCAAATGAGTACAAAGGCTTGTTATTCTGAAAGGGAAAAGTTGATTTTTAGCACAGTCAAAATATGGCACACATTCAATAAATATGATAACATTTTATGATACTTAACTCAGCCTAGAAAAAGTTCCTGTAATCTGTTTCACTACAGAATTACCTGGAGTTATGAACTATGAATCAACAACTGGATTGCATTTTCTATTTAACTTGCAGACACCATACTGTTTTAAAAAAGGAATAGGATGTGCTTTAAAAACATTTCAATGAGAAGATTCTGGAAAGATGAAAGCAACGGCACTATACTTTTTAAATCTCCTCTAAATCTCCCCATAAACCCAGACAAAGCACTGAGGATAGCAAAACCAAAGATTCCTAAACAACATCTACAACAAAATCAGGAGACAAAACTTCAAATGTAAACGGGTGGAAATCTTGGCCAACTATGAGATCTGCATGGTACATCTGTGTGAGAAGTACAGGAAGGCACAAGAGCTTCTCACAGCTGGAGAATAGAACAGAAAAGCCTCAGAGTACACAGCGGGTGATCACTGGACAGCATGGAGGTCAGAGAACAGCAGTAGAGACTGGGAGGGAGTTAACACAATTCCACTTACACACTGAAGGCAGACTCCACTGTGATATAAGGTCTAATGATGCAGTCTGAGCCCTGAAAAACTAGCAAAATTAACAAATCAAAGCTCCCTTTCCAAGACAAAGTCTCACCGAAAAGAAACTGAAGGGAATGGAATCCAAGTTGTGGAATACAGCGCAATAGGGACAAGGGAAAGAGAAGGTTCAGATAAAGGTGGTGGAGAGGAACAGAAAAGATACATTTCAGAAAGCACAAGACAGAGAGAGAGATATATCTACTTTGCAAAAAACCCAGGAGAGCTTTAACCTAGACCACAAAACTAGAAAGGGCTTCCCAGGCAGCTCAGTGGTAAAGAATCCACCTGCCAAAACAGGAGACACTGGTTCTATCCCTGGTTCAGGAAGATCCCCTGGAGAAGGAAATGGCAACCCACTCCAGTATTCTTGCCTGGAAAATCCCACGGACAGAAGAGCCTGGCGGGTTATAGTCCATGGGATGGCAAAGAGTAGGACACAACTGAGCGACTAAACAACAACATGAAACTAGAAGAGCTATCCATGCCCATTTCCTCTTCCTTAGAGAAAAACTCATTTCACTACTAGATAATAAGGAACAAAAAAAAAGGATCTCAGTCAAATCTCACACAAAGTTATTGTGACAGATCTTTAACAAGTGTAAGGATGTCATGACAATTAAATGTGAAAAGAACAGTCTTTTCAACAAGTGATGCTGGAACAACTGGATATACACATGCAGAAGAATGAAATTGGACCCTCCTTCCCCACATCAAACCCAGAAATTAACTCAAAAATATCTTAGATCTGAATATAAGAGGTAAAATAATACAACTTCTAAATACAAAAGGTAAAAACAGTAAAACTTAGAAAGCACAGGAGTAAGTCATTGTGACTTTGGACTTGTCAATGATTTCTTAGATGAGATAAAAGCACAAATGACAAAAAAAAAAGTATATATATTGGGGTAAATAAAAATTTAAAACCCTTGTGCTTCAAATAATACCCTCAAGAAAGTGAAAAGAGAGCCTATTCAATGGGCAAAAATATTTGGAAATAATCTATCTGTAAATAACTTGTATCTACAACTCTTAACAAAACTTTAATAAAGAGGCAAACAACCCAATTAAAACTTGGGCAAAGTTTTAATAGGCATTTCTCCAGAGAAGATCTACAAATACAAATAAGCACTTGAAAAGATGTCCAACATCATTATCCATCATGGGAATGCAAATCAAAACCACAATAGAATATCATTTCATACCACCAGGACGGCTTAAATAAAACCCCCAAACCACCGAATTGTACACTGTAAAATGATGAATCTTATGGTATCTAAATTATATCTCAATAACACCATTATTTAAAAAAAAAAAAAGATAAATTGAATTTTTTAAAAAGTGATAGACAAATAAGATTAACAAAGATATACCTATAATGGCAGGCCCTAAAAATGAAAATCAAAGCAATACTATAGAATACAAAAATAATAATTTTAGAGAACTCTCATAAAATAAAAGACAGCCTGAAATTCAAATTAGAGTATCTTGTGTAGATACACAATCAACCCTTAAAAAAAAAAGAAAAAAAAATTGATGCATCCAGATTTTTAAATCAAGTTATGAGGTAATAAAAAAAAACCAGGACTGTCATCAGGCTTTTTGACAATGCTTTTGCCAGAAAACGAGAGTAATATACCTTAAGGTAATCAAAAAATGTAAACTGTAGATTTTATATACAGCCAAACTGGTTTCCCCAGTGGCTCAGTGGTAAAGAATCACCTGCAATGCAGGAGAAACAGGAGACATGGGTTTGATCCCTGGGTCAGGAAGATCCCCTGGAGGAGGCCATGGGCAACCCACTACAATATTTTTGCCTGAAGAATCCCACGGACAGAGGAGCCTGGCGGGCTACAGTACATGGAGTCACAAGAGGTGGACATGACTGAAGCAACTTAGCAGACAGCACAAACTGACCTTCATAAACAGACTCTTGTGAATACAGGAATAATGCACCCATGAGCACCTCCTGAGGAATCTATTGCAGAAGAAGCTCCAGATGACCAAAAAGAGTGAAGAGCCGTCAACATAAGGACTGGGAGACACCAAGCTTCTCCTTAAAGAATTATAAACAATCGGCAACTATACACAATAGTATGAACGATACCACAAAATGCAAAATCCAGACTGTGAGAAACTTACAGGACAACCAAACTGGTTTCTTCAACAGCAGTAGCAGCAAGAAAACAAGACGGAGAAGGAAACCCGATTTTTAAGAGAAGGGCTCAAAGGATGTATCAATCACAAATAAATGAACCTCATATGGATTCGGCTTCAAACAAATAAATGGTAACAACAACAAAAAAATTTTTTTAAATTGAACACCAATTGCCTATTTGATGAAATTAAGGAATCACTATTCATTTGGGGGGAGGGTGCAACAATGATATGGTAGTATTACAGGTTTTTTGTTTTGTAGATATAATACTGCATATTATAAGTCTTTGCTTAAAATAATCCAGTGGGGGAAAAAAAAAAAATAATCCAGTGGTAGGGAGGGAATGTATGTAGGAAGAGATCAAAGAAGTTGGTCATGTGTTAATAATTCTAGGATCCAGGTAATGAGCACAATGGTTAATTATACTCCTCTTTCTGCTTTTGTATCTATTTGGAATTTTCTATAACAAAAAGTTTAAAATTATAAATCTAAAACTTTCCAGGTATCAAAGCAAATGTCAACTGCACGATTATCTTAAAAGCCAAAAAAAAAATCTGTTTGTAATTAAGAAAATAAAAATTTTAACTGAACTTAAAAGTAAGCTAAAAACAGAAATTAAGAGTTTTTTTCCCTCTTAAGATCATTATTTTCCTATAACTCCCCTTGGCAACAATGCCAAGTGAAGTCTCCCTTTAAGGTAGTGGATTTCAACTGGGATGAGTATCACAATCATTTGCAGAGCTTTTAAGAAATCCAGATGCAGGGTCCCACCTTCAGTGTTGCATCATGAGTCTCTCTGGAGTTGCTCCACTAAAGATTCTGATGCACATCAATAATTAACAACCAGCCTGCTTAGAAATATCAAGGAAAAATAAGAAAGCTTTCTTAAGTGAACAATGCAAAGAAACAGAACAGAACAACAGAATGGGAAAGATCTCTTCAAGAAAAGAGATACCAAGGGAACATTACAAGAAAAGATGGGCACAATAAAGGACAGAAATGGCAAGGACCTAACAGAAGCAGAAGAGATTAAGAGTGGCAAGAATACACAGAAGAACTACACAATAATGTCTTAATGACCCGGATAACCACAATGGTGGTTATCACCACCTGGTCATTCACCTGGAGCCAGGCATCCTGGAGTGTGAAATCAAGTGAGTCTTAAGAAGCATTACTATGAACAAAGCTAGTGGAAGTGATGGAATTCCAGCTGAGCTATTTAAAATCCTAAAAGATGGTGCTGTTAAAATGCTGCACTCAATATGCCAGCAGATTTGGAAAACTCAGCAGTGGTCACAAAACTGGAAAAGGTCAGTTTTCATTCCAATCCCAAAGCATGGCAATGCCAAAGAATGCTCAAACTACCATACAATTGTGCTCATTTCACATGCTAGCAAGGTAATGCTCAAAATCTTTTAAGCGAGGCTTCAATAGTACTTGCACTGAGAACTTCCAGATGTATAAGCTGGATGTAGGAAAGGCAGAAGAACTAGAGATCAAATTGCCAACATCAAATGGATCACAGAAAAAAGCAAGGGAATTCTAGAAAAAACATCTCCTTTTGCTTCATTTTCCACACTAAAACTGCTGACTATGTGGATGACAACAAACTGAAAATTCTTAAAGAGATGGAAATACCAGACCACTTTACTGCCTCCTGAGAAACCTGTATGCATGTCAAGAAGCACCAGTTAAGAACTGGACATGGAACAATGGACTGGTTCAAAATTGGGAAAGGAGTATGTCAAGGCTTATTTAACTTATATGCAGAATACATCATGTGAAATGCCGGGCTGGATGAATCACAAGCTGGAATCAGAATGCAGATGATGGTACAAAGTGAAGAGGAATTAAAGAGCCTCTTAATAAGGGTGAAAAAGGAGAGTGAAAGGGCTAGCTTAAAACTCAACATTCAAAAACTAAGATCATGGTATCTGGTTCCATCACTTCATGGCAAATAGATGGGGAAAACGTGGAAAACAGTGAATGATTTTCCTGGGCTCCAAAATCACTGCGGTGACTGCAGCAACGAAGTTAAAAGACGCTTGCTCTTTGGAAGAAAAGCTATGACAAACCTAGACAGTGTTTTCCAAAGCAGAGACATCACTTTGCAGACAAAGGTCCATATAGTCAAAGCTATGGTTTTTCCAATAGTCATGTACAGATGTGAGAGTTAGAACATACAGAAGGCTGAGCACCAAAGAATT